TTTTGGGGGGGAGAATTGCTGTTGTGGGCTTCTTTCGCTTCCCCTCCTCCTTCCTTTCTGCTGCCCTGCCCTTACTGGCCCCTCCTCCACCACCACCTCCAGCTCCACCGCTTTCCGATTCCCTTCCCTCCACCCCCCGCTCCTTCCGATTCCCTTCCCTCCACCCCCCTATCCTTCCCGCACCTTCTGTCCCTTGCTGCTTCTCCTTTCTCGCGCCGTCGCTGCCCTCCTCCGCTCGACTCCCCTCTTCCGTCCCTCCCTCTTCCTGCCCGTCCCTTCTTCGCCCCACCTGCCTGCCCGTCCCTCCCTCCCTGCCTCCCGCCCCCCCCACCCCCAGTCGGGGATCTATCAGAGCTGGGCTGAGGCACAGGCCGCAGTCAGGGGCGCTTCGGGAGCCGCCTTCAAGTAGGTCCGCCGTCTCCGCCCTCCTTCCCGTACCCTACCCCGCCGCACATACATGCGTACATACGTACGTACATGCATACAACATACATACATACATATATATATATGTACATATATACGTACGATTGGCAGGCGGCTGGCAGAGGTTATGGCCTGACTTCTGCTCCCGGCCGACCCGGGTTCATATCCGCCTGCCGGCTCCTCGGGTGTTTGAGGAGTGTTGAAATGGGAGGTGGCTCCCCATCATATGGACGATGTAGGACGTGATATAATCAACTTGCGAGCTGACCAGGAACTAAGTTGATGCGCCGTTGATCCGCTAGATTTGGTTGGATGCTGGTGGTGAGTTGCCGAACCCAACGAATACATTCCGAAGTCGGATGGGGTGACGGATTAGGGTGCCCCTCTAGCAGGGGAGAGCAGGGACTGCCCGGGAAAGGGGCCGCTGGCGAAGTTAACCACCCTGTAACAACATACATACGTACATACATACATACGTACATACACATGTAGCTGGGGCCATCCCTCTTCCAAATCGTCAGCAGCTGTCCTTTGTGGCTTTTGTCTCTGTTCTGTCATGCCCGTCTTGTCCCTTTACGGATGGCTGCTGACTCGAAGATTACGATGGTGGGTAAACCCGCGTCCAGACAAAAGTTTCCTTCCATCCCCATCCCCACCCCCATCCCGGCCACCTGGCACCTTTGCCGGGTATGTCTGTATGTCTGTATGTCAGGAGATTCAATACACGGAGGGAGGCAGAGAGCTTCCTAGAGCAACACCGGAACACGACGGCGGTGACGCAGGTCCCCCTAAAGAAGAAGAAGAAGAGGGGAAAGGAGAAGGACGACGAGGTCACGGACGCTGCCGCCGGCGGTACGGCGGCGTTGGCGGAGGAGTTTCCTTTTTGCGCGGCACATCCTGCTCCGAAACGGCCTCGCGGCAGACCGAAGAAGGCGCTCCAGTCCTCCTCACCCGCGCCACCTCCTGTTGAGACGGCGGCGGTAGGTGCTACTGCCGTCGGTGCAGCGGCTGTTGCAACGACGGCGGTGGCAGCCACCACCACCACCACCAACAACAACAACAACAGCAGCAGTAGCACTTGGCCACTGCCGTCCGAGACCGCTGAGACCGGCTTCAGTGGCGGAGGCGTTACTGGCGGAGGCGGTGGGGGAGATGATGCGGCGTTTGATGGTAATGTGGAAATGGTAAACGCACCGGCGGCAGGGGTGGAGGCGGCATGGGCGGATGCCGGAGGGCCGCACGACCCCTCCGCCACCTCCACGTCCAGCCCCGCGGTGTACTACGCGGTGGCCAGGGGCAAGCAGGTGTGTGTGTGTGTGTGTGTGTTTTGTCGAACTGAGCCGCCGGCTATTCTTCTAGTAAGTGGGGCGTTACGGCGGGATAGAGCCCCGGATAGGAGCCCCGAAAGGGAATACAAACCCCGTCAGGGTGGGTAGGGGGCCATCAGGGGCCGCAACGGAGGACTGCCCCCTACACTGAACTGCTCTGCACTATTGGGAAGTGCTGTGAGGATGTGTGTTTATGGGACCCGAGCTGGAAAGGGGAAAAGGGGGAGAGGAGGGGGAAGGGAACACACGCTCCTGGAGGTCCTAGAGAGTCCAGGGAGGGGGTGAAGACGCCGGGGTTTTGTTCTACTGGCGACTGGCCAG